GCTAACTCTAAACAGATTATATCATTCCTCACTTTTTCAGTCCTAAAGTATCTGGAAATTCTTTTTCCCGTATTTATTTTGAATATAATCAATCCATCTTCTCTCCTCCCGTTTATATTTCTCATTTGAGTGGTCCTTGAGATATGCTGATATTTTAGCCATCTCTGCTAAGTCGCTCTATATTCTTCAATGGTCCAACTTTTCTACACTCCTATATAAAAGTAAGGGGGGGAGCACAATTTATAGTGGGTGGTGCTTAGAGAAATGCCAGGAGAAAAGTGACTGCACTTTGTAGTAAGGAGTTTGGTCTGATTTCATTAAAGTCCCTATATTATTACCTCAGGATATGCATTGTGGACTGGAATTTGCATTGGTGAGGACAGAATTAAGTTGTTTTAGTGTTCTGTCCACCTCAAGATATTTCTGAAGTAGTTGGGACTAACTAAACATATCAATGGCTTAGGTACAGCCTGTCAGCGTGTTATCATTTGGAAGATCTCCCTGAAAGTACAGATATTGTCTGTGTCCAGGCTGTGAAATCCTGTACTCCCATGTACATGTGTATTGAATGTGGAGCCAACATTTAGGAGTAGCTGGAAAGTAGCTGGAAACATTTAGGAGTAGCAGGAAAGCCACAAGAATTCATGTTTACCATAAGCCCTCTAAATTAATTCATAGCATTGTCCTATATATGTTTACTATGTTAAGGAGGGTTTCCTCTGATAAGTGTGCAGTATAATGAATGCCTAAAGTAAATATTGCTGTAGGCAATCCCATATTTACAATCTGGGAGATTAACACCAGTAAATTGCTGTTCACATCCATTTTCTAAATTTGCAGAAACATCCAGTGTCTATTTTTATTATTCACTGATTTGAAACAGATGCTGGTCCACACTTTAACGCTTCTATCCAGCTAAACATTTCTGTTCTCAATAATAAGCCAAGTAACTGAATTGGGGTGGGGTTTGGTTAATAAACAATGTTTATTGCATCCAATTTCTATCCAAGCTGAAAGCTGCTGAAGTTTTGTTTGTCATGCAGCTGCTAAGACAAGGGAATACCATTGGCCAAGTTATTGGCAGGATGGAAGAAATAAGGAAAATAAAAAAGACAAAAGAGACAGAGAAAAGATATTAGTGTATGTAATTAATTTTCACATACTATTTAAACAGTCAAATCAGCTGCATTAATGGCTAACAAACTAGGCCACATTTCAAAAGGTAGAGATAGAATTTTCCTAATTTGCTTTCCTCTTGTGTTTTGTTATTCTTTCTTCTTCTTGTTGTCCTTCTTGTTGCTGTATAGATTTAGTGGAATCAATTACTAACATGAAGGCTCCTATTTATGTTACACAGTGGCTGATTTCCCAAAAAGTGGGCTTGGGCCTGGTTGATACCGAATGGGAAACCACTAAAAATTCTAGGACTGTAGGGTCAGATTTAGGAATTTTTTTAAAAAAACTTGGAAGCAGATAGTGGCAAATCACTTACGTATTTCTGCAAGAAAATTGCATGTGTATTTCCATGTAATGATCTGGTTTGGAGCTCAAAATAAGAATTTTTACCTTATTTTGTATGCTTGTTTTGGCTTCCATGGGAGCTGTGGTTCAACGTATCTGGAAGGTATGAAAATAATTGCTGGAATAAAAGTAATTTGAACAAAACAAAGTTGAAGAACTAAGAAATCAGAAACCACTGTATCTTCTCAACAGAATGAGAACTTAAGTCTGTTAGATCAGCATTGCAATGGTTAGGGATGATAGGCCTTACAGTTCATCAATATCTGGCAACCACATTTTTGCTAATCATGTTATATGCAATACAGCTCAATGGAGGAGGATTGGCCTTTAGGATTTTACCGAAATGCTGAGAAAACACATATTATTCAATGCCTTGGATTTGTTTCCCAAAAAATATTTTCTGTTCAGGAGTATATATGTAACATCTGCCTGCAACTTTTTAAAACAGCAGCCCTTTTCCTAAGATCATGCAGCTACCTGCTGCTGATTTTGAGAAAAGACATACGATAGCCCCCAAAATACTTTTGGGGGGGGGGAATTAAAGTATTGCCTAGCTTTAATGAGGAGTATCATTGAAGTCCAATGCTCAACCTCTTTCTAGTGGGAATAGTGTTATGCAGCGAGCAAGGGAGTAAGAGAGAGTGTCAAAACTAACAAAATAGTGGATGTGTCATCCTGATCCAAGGTCTGCCCCTTTTGTATGTGCAGGAACGTCAAAAGTGTGATCAAAGAAGTAGGGCTTGAATTGTGACTCCCTACCTGGCATATATAAATATAAATATATAAATATTTCATCAAGCATGAATTAGATAACAGATATATGTATAAACATGATGATGAATGCATGAAATGGATACAAATACAAGGGAATATTAGGACGGATGGTAGGCACTCTGGTGCGCTTATGCACACCCCTTAAAGACTTCGTAGGAATGGGGTGAGGTCGACAGTAGACAGTCTAAAGTTAAAGTTTTTGGGATTTGGGGAAGAAACCACATTGTCAGGTAGTGCATTCCAGGCATTGACCACTCTGCTGCTGAAATCATATTTTCTGCAACCAAGTTTGGAGCGGTTTACCATACATTTGTATCTATTGTGAGCTCGTGTGTTGTTGCTGAAGTATTCATTGACAGATAGGACATTGTAGCATATATTTTATGTACTACGCTTAGGTTGGATCGGAGATGACGAAGTTCTAAGTTATCGAAGACCAAAATTTCAAGTCTGGTGGCATAAGGTATTCTGTTGCGAGTAGAGGAGCGGAGGACTCTGCTCGTAAAATATCTCTGGACTCGTTCGATTGTATTTATATCTGATATGCAGTGTGGGTTCCAGACAGATGAGCTGTATTCAAGAATTGGTCTAGCAAAAGTTTTGTATGCCCTAGTTTGCAGTTCAATATTACCATAAAAGAAGCTATGGAGGATTAGGTTAACAGCTCTTAATGCCATTTTGGCAATACTGTTACAGTGAGCTTTGGCACTTAGATCATTTGAGATGAGTACTCTGAGGTCCTTTGCAGAGTCGGGGTTGTCTACGAGGTCATATTCGCCCTGGTTGTATTTTGTGTTTTGATTATTTTTTTTGCCAATGTGTAAGACAGAGATTTGGAGTTGTCAATTGTTTGACCATTGTGACAACTAGTCAAGGTATTTTTGTAGGGTAGCAGCATTGTCAATGGTATTGAATATTTTTACATCATCAGCGAAGAGGACACAGTTGCTAATAATATGATCACAAAGGTCATTTATGTAAAGTATAAAGAGTGTGGGTCATAAAATGCTACCGTGTTTCCTATTTTGACTACTTTTTGCCTGTTTGATAGGAACGGAACTATCCACCTATGCAGGGAACTGGAGATGCCATAGGATTTTAGTTTGTGAAGTACTTTGTTGTGCACCACTGAATCAAAGGCTTTACAGAAGTCTATATAAATTGTGTCTATTGCTTTGCCCTGATCGAGTTGTGAAGATGTTTTTGCAGTGTAAGAGTTGCAGATTGCAGGACAATTTTTTCCTGAAGCCAAACTGCTTGTTAGAGAGTAGGTTGTTTGTCTCTAAGTAGAGGGCAATGGATTGGTTTATAATTGATTCCATGACTTTGCAGATGACGCAACATAATGAGATTGGTCTGTAATTTTCAACTAGGTTGGGATCACCTTTTTTTAAAGATAGGGATGACCGCGGCTATTGATCATAAATTAGGCAAGGAGCTGGTTCTGAAGGATATTTCATAGATTATGTTAAGAGGTTCTGCTATGGTGGTTGAGAGCTTTTTAAAGAAGTAAGAACATAATCCCTCAGGGTCAATAGATAGAGATGGTTTTAGGTTGCATAGCCCCTTTTCAATGGCATCTTCTGTAAAATTGACATGTAGTAATTGGTTGTGGTAAGAAATGTGGGGCATGAGCCATTGCTGTTTACGAAGACTGAACCGAAGAATGTGTTGAAGAGGTTGGCCTTAACAGTTTCATCATTCCAGTCTTTTCCATTTGGCCCTATTAGTGGTGGGATGGATTTTGAGTCTTTAAGTTGATTGTTTACAAAATTATAGACGGCATGGATGGATTTCGTGCGTAGTAGATTTTTCTCTTGTTTGCTGTGATAACTGATGCACTCTACCTTTATCTGTTGCCATAGGGTTTTATAGCGACTGTTGAAGTTAGCTACCTATCCAATTTTGTTTTTGCGCCAAAGAGGTTTTTTTTTTAATACTAAAGCTTCCTTATTGTTATTGGTAATTTGTTTTTCCTGGTATTGGTGGTTATTAGTGGTACATATAGCTTGATTATTTTTAATGTATTGTTTTATATATAGTTTGATGATCTTGCTACTTTTGATATTTCTGCAATATTGCACACTGTGCAGACCAGTGGTGGGATTCAAATAATTTAACAACCGGTTGTCTGTTCTAATGACCAGCTGGGTAGGTGGGGCTTTGTAGTCATGTGACTCAGTGGGTGTGGCCCACTCAATGTCACTCATATTGATGGATGCTATGCCTTATCTGTTACAATGTAATAAGTGTTAACTGGAGAAGCAGTTTCTGTAAGCAGGGCAATAAAAATTAGGCTAAAAACAACACCAGAATGTTCCCTTCCTGCCTTCCTTACAGAATTAGCCCTGTAAAGTGGAAAAAAACAAAATAAGATTTCTTCCAACAACCGGTTTCCCAAACTGCTTAGAAAGTTAACAACCGGTTCTCCCGGATAGGTGCGAACTGGCTGAATCCCACCACTGGTGCAGACATTACTAATATTACTAGTTGGGTACTGAAATGTTGATAAGCAAGCAACCAAGCTCAGAAGTTAGGTTTTTATATTTGAAGTTAATTTGCTTAATTTTCTTCATAGCATTATTTGAAAGCTGTCATCTACCTTTTCTTATTTTTATTTTATAAATTCATGCTACGTGTTAGTATATGGTATTAATATTATTCTAAGTCTGTTTTCATGTAGAAGAGAGGGGTTGAGGGACAGGAAAGATTGGCTGGTTCAGACTATATATCACATGTAAAGTCCCTACTGATTGAACACATCATATTCTAAGCTAAAAAATATACATATTTTAAACAGCGTGATTTGTGAACTTGGCCAATATATTCGCTTTGCACTCAAAACCACTGAGATCAGTGAAGCAACTGCCTTCTGAGAACTTTCTTGTTTATGAAATAGGCTGATGATAATATTACTTGTTAAAATTTCATCTTTTTTTTTTTTAAGGAAGCACGTTTATATAATTTACATTGTTGCCAGAAGAATAGGTGCAAATGTTATTTGGTTTAAATGCTTTAAATGCTATTCAGAGTAAACTAATATTATTAGGTCGTTATTGTAATTAGCTGAGAAGTGGTTTACTCTGAATTTTGCCTGTTCCTGGAAAAGGGAGTAACTTTGGCAGGGACAATTTGAAGAGCTTTCGGAATTTCAAAATGGCTATCTTGGGAAAGAACAAAATGTTCTGAGTGTGTTATGATCACAATGTTTTGGGTCTAATCACAGAGGTCTATTCCGCTCATACTTTTTTTCTGTTCAGATACAGTCTCTTCATTTTTGTAGGAACACAAAATGTGCGTGTTTTCTAAGATGTCATATAAAACTTTACCAAGGGAACCCATAAATGGCTGCAGTTATATGCTCATACCCAGTACAAATGTGGTTTGCATAATATCTGAAGTAGTCTATGGTTTCAGTCAAAATGTATAAAGCATTGGCAGAAATTTGCTTCATAGACAAGAAGGCTGCAATCATCTAACCACTTATCAGTGGGAAGTACTTACACACATAGGCTTGTGCTATAAGCTGTCAGATGAATGGATTCAATCAAGTAATTGCCCATATAATGAGTACTGTATACTTGAAATAGGGAAGCATAAGGGAGGTGCAGTGGAACCTACAGAATTCCTCATTGGCTATTGAGCTGTGGTGGGGCAGTGATTAGAATGCAGCATTGCAGGTTAACTCTGCCAACTGCCAGCAATTTGATCCTGACCGGCTCAAGGTTGACTCAACCTTCCATCCTTCTGAGATCGGCAAAATGAGAACCCAGATTGTTGAGGGCAATAGGCTGGCTTTGTAAACCTCTTAGGATTGTAAAGCACTGGGAAGCGGTATAGAAGTAAGGGCTATTTGTAATGCTATTCATACATTGTGCTAACCCATAATGTGGTTTGTGAAGTTTTTGATTTCTGTAATGCGTGGACATTAACGATTGTATTTTGATTTTGTATCTGTTTCTCAAGTAGATTTATTTTGCAGTAAAGTTTAATACACTAATGCTTAAAAATGGTACACCATATGCTTATTTTCATTTTGATTCTCTATAAACTTAGCACTGCATCAGTATATAAAAATGTTTCAGTTACTCAACAGGTCCTCATACAACATTCAAGACATTCATGAGACCAAGAATAAATCTGAAAATGTTTCCTTGAAATTATGATTTGCCACTGGGGCCTCTATTAATTCCAGAACTAACCTGAGAAATTAAAAATGACTGGACAATGTTTACTTGCAGGGTAGAATTGATGAGTTCCACCACAAAACCGCGGTCGACTAAAGCGCGCTCGACGAAACTGCGTACCTGACATCATCACAGTGCGACGAAAAAAGCAACCGCGGAGAAAAAAGGGCGCTTTAAAAAGTGCTTTGAAAGCAAGCCGATTCAAGTTAAGGTAAGGGTTAGGGTTAGGGTTAGGGTTAGGGTAAGGGTTAGGGTTAGGTTAAGGGTTAGGGTTAGGTTAAGGGTTAGGGTTAGGGTTAAGTTTAG